CAACCTTTTTTGTTGTTATATACCTGGATGACTGAGAAAACAAACTTAATGTTGGTAATAGTTTATCCGCTTCAGTGCTTCTTTCCTGTGGGGTCCCGCAAGGCTCTATTCTTGGACCCCATCTGTTTTCTGCTCCCCTTGGGGTCTATCCTGAGGAGACATGGCCCTTCATTTTATTGTTATGCTGATGATTCTCAGATTTATCTGCTCTTAAAACCCAACAGTTCCTGCTCCATTCGCCCTCTGTCAAATTGTCTTGATGACATCAAGACTTGGATGGCTACGAACTTCTTAAGTTTTAATGATCAGAAAACTGAGGTCATTGTGTTTAACCCTAGCTCTACTGCTGTCACTGATCCTGTAAACCTGGACTCCCTTCAGCCATGTCTAAAGCAGGTGTTATCAATGTCAGGATATTTTTAGACTCAGACTTCAAGTTAAATAAATATATCAACTCTGTTCTTCAAAAAAGCCTCTTTCAGCTAAGACAGATAGTTAAGCTTAAGTCTGTGTTGACCAGATCTGACCTTGAAAAGTGCATTCATTACAACCCGGCTGGACTACTTGCTTTACAGTATGTTGGGGTCAGTCAGGTCTCCCTTTCACATATCTAGCTTGTCCAAAATGCTGAAGCTTGACTATTAACAGGAACTCATAGGTTTGACCACATTTCACTGGTTCTGTCCTTCCTTCACTGGCTCTCTGTACTCGACAGGCCTCTTCAGTCTCTGCTTTTAAAGCTCTCCTGAAAACACAACTGTACTCATGGGCATTTAACACAGGGTGATCTGATTTAGTATTTCATTGTTTCTCATTGTGGTTGCGTTTTTATGTTTTTATTCCTGATGCTGTAATTATATCTCGTTATTTTTTATTTGATGCTGTGATCTTTTTGTTAAGCACTTTGGTAACAGTTCCTGTTTTAAATGTGCTATATAAATAAATCTGACTTTGACTTGACTATATTTCATGCAGAAGTGCCAAACCTGCTGTTAAGAGGACTGAATGTGCAGGTCATATGTGAGGGAACGGCTCAAGTTAACTGGTTTCATGTTTTTGCACAACCTGGTACCATTTTAACAAGACATGAAGATCTTAAAGGTTGGTTTAATATAAAAAAAAATGCATAAAGCAATGAAGAGTGGGTAATTTAGGAAGATGCAGCCTAATGCTGTGCATTATCTTTAGCCGCTTCTTCCTTTTCAGGGTGTGGGAGTCACTGGTGCCCATGTCCAGCAGTCACTGTGCGAGAGGCAGGGGACACAATGGACAGGTCTCCAGTCCTTCACAGGGACACATTGAGACAAACAACCATTCACTCTCTCATTCATACCTAGGGACAATTTAGAGTTAAAAAATCAGCCTAACATGCATCTTTGCTGTTTCCAATGTGCTCGTCCCGCACATTGGAGGCTCGTTGGACTCTGTTAGCCTGTCTGAGACAGATGTTTGGGTCACCTGCATGAGGGGGTGAATTGGAGTGGAGCTGACCTGGACTCAGCGCTAAAGCTGCACTGCAATTTAATGAAAGTTGAAATCTGAGACCTCCTCCTCTGTTTAAAGGTAGTTTTTCTCGTTTTATGTAAATGACCTCCTTCTCCCCCTCCAGCCGTCTTCTCTGTCCAAAACATGAACATTTTGGTTCTTGAGGTGTAGGTGGAGTGGACCACCAAGTCTGATCCAGAAGAGCGAAATCCCCAAATACAAACTCACTTCTGCCAGAAGCTTTGCTCATTTTCTATAGTTATTTATTTTTTCATATTTTATATTTATATTCATGTTTTCTTGTAGTGACAATTGAACAACAATAAAAGCAACAAAGTAGTTGAAGTGAACGTAGTCACAACTGAAGAGCAACGTCTCAACACTCCCATGAGATGAAGGAAAAGGTGAGAAAATCAAAACAACAACAACAACAACTTTTCTGCCGGATGAGCCTCGGTGGTTTTGACATATTTTGCCCAGCATCCAACAAATGAAGTTTCAGAAACCCTTTTGTTGTCACCATTTAAAGGAACAAACGATAAATATGCATTAAAAACAAACAAAAATATATATATAATTTTACATGAAACAGTCCATAATCCTTCAAATATAAGCTTTACAAGGGAAAATTGTTATTAGGATAAAAATGACTGGTCATGTAGTTGTTTACAGATTATACTTAGGTTAGTTACTGCTAACCAACTAGACAGTATCGAGGTACGGAACTAAAAATCAGCTGATTTAGGCGACTCGGATGTCCACGTTTTGTTACTCACCCACTTTCCGGAGCTCAAACGACGTGTCGAACTGGTGTCCAGCCGCCAGCAGGAGAACAGCGTAGTTGATGCCAGAGTGCAGCGTTGGCTCCGACTCAAACCCCTTTTTAAACCTGAGAGGAGACGGAAAAAAAATCTAAGAAATGCGTCAGTCGAAATCCCAGGCACCTCTGAGGTAACTGCACGCAGCTCCGCGGCTTTCTGAGCCGCTTCAAGATGGGAAAAAAACAAACAATTAGACATATTGAGCTGGGGCCCAAATAACAAGAAATTTCATTTGTTTAATGACCAATCTGTTCTGCGGCAGAGAGAGGTGTGAATGTTATTAGAGGCCCGAGCCAAGTTTTGACTCGGAACGGCAAATAACGGCCAGATGGGACTCAGTTATCCAAGCAGCATCTTCCGTCTCCGAGCGTACGAGATTTTAATTGCAATTTCCAGATGAAGACAATCAGAAGCCTCGTGTTATTAGGCAAAACTCAATGAGCTCATGTCAGGCTTCATGCGCTCACTTGATAACTGCGCTCATAAAAACAGAAGACTAACCTGGGAGGCAGAGTTCACGTCTTCACAACAATTAAAGATTTAAACTCTCATATGCACCTTCTGCCAGATGATTTGTTGGCACAGTGTGATGGTTTTATGCATAAATATAATTAAAAATACATTCTTAAAACGTCAGACCAGTTGCTTTTGCAGCAATAGCATCAATTTCACCATCAAAGTGAGGAAAACTTACAGTATATTACAGTATTTATCGGACTATAAGGCGCATTAGGCAAAACAAAACAGTCAGATAAGTCAAGCTTTATACAACTCATTCACAATAACTTTCAACATTGTTCAGTCGTACCACATAAAATCAGTTTGAGGTCAGAAGCACAACCAGAATTAATACATAAGGCTCACTGTCGATTTTTGAGAAAATTTAAGGATTTTAAGTGCAGCTTATAGTCCAAAGAATATGGTACATTAATAAATAGCACAGCTAACCAGCAATAAATTGGAAAGAAAGAGCAATGAAACATGTTCTGCCTCCATCCATCCATCCATCCATCCATCCATATAGATGGATCCAGATAGATTAGATTAGATATATAGATATACAGATTAGATATATAGATTAGATATATAGATATATACGTAGATATATAGATATACAGACAGACAGACAGACAGACAGATAGATAGTTAGTCCCGTTCTCTCACCATAACGAGCCTCGGTCTCGGCTCTCCGTGTCGGTGAAGTGAGACTCCAGGAACTTGTCCTTGTAGATCCGTCCCACCAGGCAGTAGATGTCCGACGCCACCTGCTCGTCCCCCTCCACCAGGGGCAGCATGATGTCCAGCGCTTTCTGTCGGTCACCCGGCAGGTTCCTCCTACACACACATCACAGTTTTTTATGCTTCAAAGACAGATCTGGGCATGTTGGAGGAGTCCTTGTGATTATTATGACCCAGACATGTTTTCACCTAATCTGTGTGCGTTTATGTGTCCGTTAGCAAAATATCTCAAAATACTGAACCATTTTTATTTAAACTTCCAGAAAGTAATCCTAGATGCACATTTAAGTTTAACTGTTTGAAGTCAAACTGTTTGCCGCAGATCAATAACTGTATAAAAATCACACAAAAAAAATTATTTTTATAAATACTGAGGTAACATTTTATGTGGTAGTAGCTGAGAGTCATCCCTTGAGTGTGACGGCTCAGCATTTCAGTGTGTAGCGCTCCAAGTGTTGGGGATGACTCTCAGCTACTACCACACCAAGTTTTAGCTCAATAGCTGCAAAACTGCTACGGCCAACTTTGTGTTGACTAAGATTAATGATCTGTGGCGGCCATTTTGAAATGGGTCAACTCCATATATAAATCATGTGTAGACGTTTCAGTGGTTCACAAAATATTTTGCTAACACAGAGAGCTGATTCCATCAGGTAAAAGCAGCTCTAATCCGTCGGTGTTCAGTTTGTGTTGAGGACGACTCTCAGCCACGAACACGCCAAGCTTTAAACTCAACATCTGTAAAAACGACCCTTTCATGGGGTCGCTTAGCTGTGGCGGCCATCTTGAATTGAAAATGAATTTGAACTATTTTGCCAATGCTTTAGACATGAACACGTCCACACATCCACAAGTAAAAACATTATTTAAAAATAAATAAAACCTTTAAAAAACAATTAGGTGTACAGCATATATTAAAGATGTAATACTTATTTATGGGGATGTCTGATTTTGCTTTAACCACGATAATTTCAGGTTATAATAACCGCTTAAAAATAAACGACAGAAGAAGAAATCTTGTTTTTAGACTGAACTGCACCTTCAATAAAATGTTCTCCCACCCGAGCCTGAACACTTCCTGTTTACTCCGAGAGAACACCTGTTTTTTTATTTTTTTTTTGTAATTATTGTTGTTTATATAAAACGTGCATCATATTTAAGATTGTTAATTTATAGTGGGGCTGTTGATAATCTGCGATAAGTTAAAAAGCTCAAGATACAAATTCATGATGCCGTTTCACCAAAAATAATTTGAGATCAAAGATTTAATTCGTTTAACTTTGAAAGACGCCCAGCTGATATACTCAAACCCTGATGATTGTGATGTGGCTGCTCTCCAGGGAGCGAAGGTTAAATACAACACGGGAGCTGACAGCTGTCACCATGGCGACTGTCCGGAGGGAGGAGCATGGAGCGGAGAGCTCCCTCCGTTTCTTGCTCTCTCCTCTCCACAGTAATGGTGTGAATTTACATAAAGGTCGTTTGTCTCCTCGCTCCTGTCGGGCTCCTCGCTCAAACTGAGCCCCGCACCGTCAGGCGGAGTGATGAAGGAGCAGCGCGCCTGCTTCTGATCAATAATTAAACTCTTATTAAGGCTCAGGGGTTCATGTGGGCCGGGGGCTGCTCAGTCAGGAGCCAGTAAAGCACCACCGCAGCATCTGGTAAGGATTTTCACAACTACTAGTCACCAAGAATAAAAACATTCTTAACTAGAGAAAACGCAGTGTGAATGCTTGTTGCTGAAGAAATTGCTGAAAAAACAGCTGAAATTAACTAAAAACATGCTGAAATGTAGCTGAAATGGATGAACAAGCCTAACTTAGCAGAAGAAAGCAGAAATAACACATTTTTGCTGAA